CTTATAAAATTACAGAGTAAAAATTCTCTAAAAAGCAAAATAAAGTTACTACTAAATAAAAATTTTAGAACTTTTTGTTCAAAAATAAGATTTTTCCTTACACATTACTTTGTGAAGTTTCGAATTCAAAGAAACTTGTAAATGAGGAGACAGTACTTAAAACCAATAAATAGAAAACGTTTAATATCAAAAGAAAACATAAATGATGATTGATCTGTCCACCTGTTTTGCTTATTTATCTCTTGACCAACTTATTGTTTTACCTTTGGTGGTAGTTCAAAGGACTATGGTAGGAAAAATACCATATTTAATTGCAAAAAAAATTCAATGGCAATTGAAATCTTAAAATTTATTGACACAAGTCTTTTAAATTTTGGAAGACCCAAAAAAAAAAAAGGCAATATAATGAGGGGCTAGTGTATTATAATACATATTATATTATATTAATAAATGTTTGTTGTTTAATTTAACTTAACCATATTTAAACACAAATTCTTAGATGCCATTTATATTATGTGAATGTCAGTTAAAAATGTTTTGATTAACTAATTTGATTTAGGTTTGACTGTGGCATATACTGAAAAATGGAAATAGTATTTTTCTCGCATGTGCATTGAAATTAATTTAAATAGCAATGTCATCAATGATTTGTATTGTGACAACAAATGACATAATTCAGAAGTTAGTGGCACTGAAATGACATGATTTCAGTGCCACTAACTTCTGAATTAGTAGTTTTGTCATTGATTGGTCAAGCCATTGACTTTCTTTAACATACAGACGGTCAACTCCCTATACTTCTTTATCTCTAATTTGTGGCCTACTTTTGTCGAGAAGGTTGTTTGGCAACTGAGTTAACATGTGGCAACCAGGACAAATATAAGTTTGAAATTGTTTGAGCCAAATTGTTCGAAAAACAGGGTTTGACTATGTTTAAAATACATTATAACTTGTTCAATTTGGAACATAATAAAATAAAAACTAACAAAACTTGTTTATTTCAGAAAAATTATTGGTCCTGACAAAGTTAAACCGTTTCTTTAAGACCAAAAACAAAATTAATTTATTACTACAAAATATTAATGATGCCATTTTTAATTTAGTAATATATTTTTGAAAATATTTTATTTCAGTTTGAATCAAATTTATAGGTTAAATGCAACAAAAAATCAAATTAATGAATATGATATGATAACAATAAATTAAAGTCTTTAAAATTCATTAAGTGTTCTACAATTTATACAAATGACTATTATTTCATAAATCATTGGTATTTTTTCCTCCAGTTGGCAATGCTTAATTTTTTTATTTTTTCACATCTTTCACTTTCTGCTCTTTATTCTATAGTGGTCATATTGGATTTGTCTTCTTAATGAACTTTTGGTTGTTTTGTTGTTGTTGTTATTAATAAAAATGTACATATTACTATTTAATGAGACAGGGATATGCATGAAGTTAAAAAAAATATTTGGTAGTCAAAATAAAAATTTGATTGCCCAGGACATCCTGAGACAACTGCTAATTTCAAACCTTGCATTATATGATATGATATAAAACTAAATCTTTATGAATGGTCCCCATGTGTGTGTGTGTGTGTTTTAATCATTACTTCGTTAATAAAATATAATTGGTTTTTACTTAATAAAATTACTTTTTTATAAAATTACTAAAATGAATAATAGACTAAATTATTCAGTAGAAGTGAGTAAATTGCATTATTGATACCATTGTTCATATTTAAAATATTTAACCTTACTGTTAATTATAACAATGTTTTGAAGAATAATATTAAATTGGTTAATTTTAGAGATTTGGTATTAAAAGAAAAAATAAAGCAATAATTTTTTTAATACATCAAATACTTTGAAAAGTATAATTAATCCATTTGACATTTGTCTGTGGCATGTGCAAAATTGTTCATGCTTATGGTGACCTTGCATAAAAGATAAACTATTTAAGTATTTGATGATAAAACTGTTCACGTGCTTCAGTTCAAGTATTTCATTGCTTAGTCTGCACTTACCTTAAAAACTAAATTAATTTGAAAACAAGTTGTGGATTATTATATGAAAATATAATAATTTTCTATTTCTAAGATCAATAATAACAACAAATATTCTTCAACTAATAACGACAAATATCTATGATATTTGTCATTATTAGTTGCAAATCTATTCTTGAAATGTTATTTAAAGTATAATGTAAATGTGATATTTTTAATAGTTACGTAAATACAATGTCTATTTTTGATTCACCATTTATCATTTTATGAAAAATGGCATGTCTGTTCTTCATATTTTTATTGATATAATTTATGAAGAATATTGCATATTATCTACGAACGTCTTGCGTTTAAGACACTTCTAACACTACTTGGTATACGTTTTTACTTTTTAAAACATTCAGAACTGTTCCTAACGAAGAAAAAACATTCATATTTTTGACTTGTAATTTATTGTTGGACATTATATGTCTGTTTTGTTCTTAAATATACTTATTACAAAACATTTGTATGTTTAAAAACAGTAATTTAGAAAAAAGGTAAGAGAAAGCACAGTTACAGATATCTTCTTTTATGTGATAATGCATATCTGTCCTTAAACTTTAAGAAAAGTTTTAAAAATTAAGTAGTAGTAATTAAGATCACTGAGAAATTTTGAGCATTTTTCCTATCAAATTTTGAATTTAGTTATATTTAATTTTTATATAGTATATATTTAATTTATTCTCAAAATTACAGGCTCAGGATGAATCAAAATAGTATGATATAGTGCATTAGATACTCTGTAAATGCTTGAACTGTGGAAAAGTATATAGAATAAAAAATATCTTTTATTTTATATTTAACAATGGCTCTGTTCTAATATATATTTCTAGATAAAGAAGAATTTATATGATATGCTCCGTATATATTTTAATTGAGAACTTTCTGTTTCATATATATTTCTTTTGTTATATTTTCATTTTATCATTTAACAGTCAAGTAGCAGCCTTAAAGTTTTTATTGTAAAGTTTGTTTTATTATTGTTATTCAGAAGAAATTTTTTTGTTCTGTATGATGAAATATATAGAAAAGTTATCAAAATTATTCAAGATTTTTTAAATTATAATAGAGACTAACTTTCCTATACATTTTTTAAAATTAATCCAAATTTCAGTATATTACTTCAATTTTTACTAAATTCAAAAACAAAATGAAGATTTTTGTAATTTTGTAAAAAAAGAAAAAAAAATGTGATTTTTGACATACATTGTGAAAATAAATATCCATAACTTTCATTTTCAGAATATCTACAGGAAAACTTATTTAAACTGCAATTATAGAAACAAAAATTATCAAACTGAAGAATGACCTAAGTCTAAGCAGAAATACAGAATATGATCTGTTGGGGCAAAAAGCAATGGAGTTTATCATAAGACAAATGAGAACAGCACAGTTTTAAAGAACTACAACAAATTATATTAAGGCAAAAAACAATACAATCACAAGATTACCATACTACCTAATTTTCTAATGGTTTTCACCAAAAAAAAGTGTTGGGCTGATTGATCAGCGGCCAGCATATCAGCATCCCAACATTAATTCCTTTTTTCATAATTGTGCATTTTTCCCTTTTCATGTACTTTTAAATCTTCAAACTAACATGATCAACACTGACAGCATTATATGTTTTGAAGTAATACTTCTTGCTTTTTATAAGATTGACTGTCCAAAAATGTTCTTTATAGAAACATGATATTATATTAAGAATTTTTAACTACTTAGAGATTCTGAAAAGAAATTTGTGGGTAACAGCAGTTATTAAATGATGTAAATGCTATTTATCTTAATATATTGTCCAACTAGTTTAATTTGGTGATAATAGATAGTATTATCATCATTATTCAAGTTATTTTTTTACGAATTACTAAATTACTACTGAAAAATTTTTTTTTTATTTGAACATCTTGGGGATCTACAATGTTTTCCACTTTAATTCAGTTGATAATGATATTTTAAGGATAACCCTCCATAAGTTTTAGATCTTGATTAAAACAAGACCAAAAAAAAAAATTAATAGTGGTATCAAATCATTTTCTTTTATGAATAAGAAAATAATTTGCTACAGTTCTTGTACATGGTTTGATACATTTTGTTTTGTTACAAATACAGAACATTATATTAATTTAATTATAAAAATAAAAATTGATAGCATTGTTTATTGTAATTGTATTAAATTGCTTTCTTTTTATTGACAACTTTTTAAAATGATGTTTATAATAATAATGTGATTTTAATTAACATTGTAAGTGCAAATGTGAAGATTTTGATTATCATTAACTGAATTGTATTTATTTTCATTGATTAAAGATGTCATGATTCTTTTATTAACAAGACTTGTTTAAATTATAAATGTTGATAAAATAGCTAGCAATTAAGATTTTTTAGCATCAATGATCTTGTTTTATGTAATTTGAGTCATTTGACATTCAGATGAAAAATTGTACTTTTAAATGATATAATAGGAAATTTTTTAAAATATATATTCTAATCTACACAAAATAAGAACTTTTTCAAATGGACATTTTTATCAGTTACAATGTTTCAATAATGTGTGTCAATATATTTATAATTTCTTTTAACAATTCAGTGTCTTTTATTCTTTTTTTTTTCATTATTCTATTCTTACTCAGTTATTTTGTTGTTCTAAATTACTAATCTAGTAATTGAAGATATAACTTTTTATATTTAATGCTGAGTTAGCATCAACTATATAAAAATTTCTGTTTCAAAAGACCAGTTTTAATTTTTTACCGTTACAGTTAAAATTTTTAAATAATACAAAATAGTATTTGTATTATTTATTAAACAACAACTTTTTAATTATAGTTCTGATGTATGAAAATTTCTTATAGTTTAATTGTCGTTTTGAAAAATTAAACACACAATATTTTAGTTGTGTATTCTTATAACTTAAAAAACTTATTTACTAATTAAAGCCATTTTTCCCCCCCTTTAGTTGTTGAGTAGCAAGGAGGATATGGGAAATAAATCATCACTGCCTGGACAGTCTATTAAACAACCAACAGATGAACCTTTCAATGAGGTTAGTTTTTTAGAAATTATATTATTATTAATTTTGTAATCACAATACTATAAAACTAAGCTTGACATGTATTAATAAACAAGCATTATTATCAGATTTTAATCAGTAAATAAAATGGTTAATTAATTATAAAGATATTACATAATGTAGACTAAAGGTAGTATATTAAGCTGCCATCTTGTATTAATAAAAAACACAAACCTATGAACCTTGTAAATGAAATTCCAGCATAGTTTAATGCAGATAAAATACTAATGCTTTTGATCTACTTAAGAGATCTTCGGGTTACTGTGTTCCAAAAGTGTTTGTATTTTATCTGCATTAAACTATGATGGAATTTCATTTATAAGCAGTGGTGATTTTCAGCGGGTTCTCACGGGTTTGGCTGAACCCGTTGTTAACATTTTCAAAGTTTTCCAAACCCATTGTTAAACACGTAATATTTCTCAGTGGTTTTGTTTCTTTTAAAAACTATATTAAAATATATGTATTATACTCTGTAACACTACTAAACTAGAGCCTTATACCCTGGTCCATTGACCGTTTCAATCTCGACTGAAACGAGGTTCAATCGCGATCGACTTGAGAGAGTGCTCGAAACTATAGATCCAGTCATAATAGAGATCCCACAATCCCACGTGCACGAGAAAATACAAGATGGCTGCGGAACATGTGTTGGGCTATCAACAGTGAAATAAGAAAGATATTGTATTTCGAGAGACGATGACATCTGTCTATTGTTATAATAATACCTAATGATAAAATAAATGATTTAGAAAAGTTTTTCTTGTTTAACTGCTTTCTGTATGACTTTTTCTGATTAAAAAAAAGCCAATTTTTATGTTTATAAAATATTTTGAATGAAAAATATTAAAATATGTACAAAATAAACCATTTTGAACACTCTTTTTTATTATTTATCAAAAAAAATATAGTTCTAGCATAAACAATGTTAAATTTTAACTGACTTAATTTTGCAAACACATCTTTTTTATTTATATGGGTATCTTAAGGTCTGTTTTTGCACTAATGTTGCTAATGCACCATTTGAGCGAAAAAAAATTGTTAAGGTAAAATTTTCTGTTAGCAAACCCTTTGTTAAATATTTTGAATATCACCACTGTTTATAAGGTTCGTAGTTTGCATTTTTTATGACATACTTTATTCCAGTCTTACAGTGTTTGAACTATCTTGGATTAAATTTAATAATTAGAAGAATCACTTGGAAGATGAAATCAAATCAGAGCAGGATTCAAACCTACAGTTTCTGTTTACTGTGCAGATGTGTTGCCAGTTACAATAACTATTTGATCTTTGCTTCTTTAATCAGTCTACAATTAATTTAGAACAATAAGATAGAAAGGTTTGAGTTAGAAGAAATTGTGAGTTTGAATCTCACTCCAGATTCTTCTAAGATATTAATTTATTTCTAATTATTAAATTTAATACAAGATGGTGATTTAACCATCTACCTTTATTCCAAATTATGTAATATTAATTAGCCATATTTTATAGCCCAATTTAAAATCTTGTGTTATTATTTGTTTATTATTAAAATTTTGTTTATATTTGGGGAAGGTTTTAATCTCTAAAATATGAAATACAAATGTATTATTTGTAATAATTCAGTTATTATAGGAAAAGGTGGTAATATGGAACCACCCTATTTCGAACTGTTAATAAAGGCGAACTGTAGCGGATTGTGACTGAACTGAACTAGGCAGACATCCATAGCAAGGGGAAAACCCATTTTACTTCAGTTAAATCGTTGTCCATATTTAATCTGCAAATTTTGAAAAAAACAAATTTGCTGATTAAATATGGACAACGATTCAAAATTTGCAAGTTTTGAATGCTAAGTGAATTTAATTATTTTTAAAATATAAATCGTGTAGTTGTAGGTTCACTGGTGCATGTATTCCATTCCAGAGACTTAGGGGTACATATTAATCTGTGTGATGTTCACGTTTTTTAAAATTTGGTCTTGACAGACATAAGTTAATTCAAGATGGCGATGCGTGAAATACGGACCCCATTGGTGCTTTTACAGTAATATGGAACTCAACTCCTCCGAACTCTCTGTTTGCAAGCAGACATTCATCCAGAGCAATTTGGGAAAAAGACATTAGGTAGAAAGCCAATTATTCCTGAGAATATTGAAAAAGAGCTGCTGGAATATATATTGTTGATGGAGGTCATATTTTTCTATTATAAAAGCATTTTTGAGATAAAATACATTGGAGTAAATAATTTTGTAATTATTTAACATTTTTTGTACTTTTCTATTTGTTTTTGGCTACATTAAAGCATTTTTTGAAAATATACAGTAAGGTTCCATATTAACACCTGATTTTCTCTAAGCCTACTTTCTGACTTTTTGTACAGAAGCCTTCAAAAACCATACTTATAGTTACACTAGCGAAAAATCCAATTAGGAACATTTAGTTTAATAGTTAACAGTACTTTTCGCACAAAAAATGTGGGTGTAGTTAGGATACCTTGTTTACAATTCACTAAAATGTAATTGGGGTTCCATAATTCCACCTTCTCCTCTACTAATTTTAATTAATAATGACTTGAAAAAGTTTAAAAATAATATAATAAAATGATTTAATGGAGTGAAAAATTAAATGAAGAGAAAAGACAAGCTGTTTAAATAAAAATAGAATTTACATAGTTCTAATTATTAAGAAAAGGGGTGGATCCTGTCTAGATTATATAAGATGTAATGTCTCAGAGCATTTGAGAAAGAATAAGGAAACATCAAAGAAACATTTAATTCGGGAAAGTTATTACCATTCTGGTGCAAAATGCCTTAGATTCAAAACTTTCTATTTTCTGGAATAAAGTTGAAACGCTTTAAATTTTAAAAATGAAACTAACTGTCATACTACATGAATTTTTTAATCCAATATAGGATAGGATGTTAAAGGAAAGGCCTGACTCAAAGGTATAGCCTTGGGAAGGAAAGGGGGATAGGTATGGTTAGAGTATGAGGTGGGGTGGAAATGAAGAGGAAAGGAGAATCACAGAGCATCTGCCAGGAACCAATGGTGGAATGCAAATGATACAGAAGGGGCCGCATGTGGATAATATACATGTAAGAAGGTTAGACATGACAATTTACCATTTGGTGGGGGACAATCTATAGGTACCGCCATGACAATAGGAACCAAGAGAAAGATGGTAAGGTACAGTACAGTAAGAGCTGATAGATTTCAATATATAATGCTTATGATTTACAGGGTAATGCTTATTGCAAGAAAAATATGTAGTACTGTGGTAACATAAAACAGCAGGTAACCATAAACCAATGGTTATACATGTCACAAAGGATATACAAGTTTCAGTGGTAATACATATTACAATGGATAGACGAAATACAATGATTATACAATTTGCAATGGTTGTACGTATTACAATGGTAATCTTATTTCACTGGATATATAAATCACAATGGTTGAACATGATAATAAGGAGATCGATGATGCCATAGATAAACAAGATACAATACACTAGGCTAAGTAGAGGCTGAGTGGCAGTAGGGTAACACAGCAAAGAGGATATGGAGTTACAAGTTGCTTATGTTGGTCTGCTGGCAGTTCATAAGTTTAAGGTTGTGTACAGAGTTTGTAAAGGCATGGTAGATTTTCCTGTTGTCCATTGAATGCCAATATAATCAACCATAGATTCTGATAACTTAGCAATGTCTTGAAAATGGCTTACATATATACTACAAGCATAGCACAAAGAATTTTCTGCCTCTTATAATCTTAAATCATCAAAATGTAAGAAAAAATTAACTAGTGTTTTAATTTATTACAACAGTAGTGATTTTGTTTATACAGTAGAGTGTCGTTTATCCGAAAGTTGGATATCCAAAAGAATTCCAGTCAGCAAATTTAAATTTTCGCTAGTGCTGTGGCGCTGCAATCTTTGGCTATATCTTGGGCTACTCCAATATTTTTTTGGTTGGTATGTGTGTTTTAGCTGGCAGCACTGGCACTTTTGTGTGGTGTTTTTCTGAGGACTGTGTGTGGTGCTGAATCAAACATTTTTGATACTAGATCAACTTCTAAAGTATATTTTTTGGTTTTCATATTTTTCAATATATTTATTTTGTTTGTACAAAATAAAGAAATAATTTTTAACGATACAATAGCCATGATTATTATTTTAAAAAGTTTACGTTAAACTTAACATCAACGAAAATTCAACGTGAAGCGACACTCAACGGAGAAAAATTCAGCAAGGGGTAGGTTAATATATTTTTTCATACATAATCGGTTATCCAAACAACCCCAGTCCCCAATTGATTCGGATAAATGCTCTACTGTATATTCTTCATAGTTCTTTGGCAATGGTATTCTCTTATTCTGCATAATTCTTCAGATTTCAAAAGTACTAAGATGTTCCAGCAAATTATTTAATATCGTAAAATCGTTTTCGATCGTCTTTAACGATCTTTATCAGTTAAATAATAAAGTAAAAAGAACATTAAAGAAATAGAACATAAATTAAAATTACGAAAAAATAATAACTGTGCATGCGTTTGTAATGATGAACACTTAACGGAATGAATATAAAAAGATAGGGATATAAGAATATAAAAATAAATAAAAATAAAGAGCTCAACAGTTTCCTATTAAAAATTAATGTTTTGTAAAAATTACAGTTTAAAACTTACTTCCAACATGAACCAANAGATAGAGAGTGGTGTCCCTATGATTGATACAAGCAGTTTTCTCTTGAGCTTTATAAATCTCAAGCTTTTCGAGATGTTTGATGGAGTGCTTGTTAGACATTGGTCTAATGATGGAAGCTTGGTACCATATAACCTCAACTCCTTGCTGGTTGGCATAAGATGCTAAAACGGTGCTATCATTGTTCTTTCTAATAGAGTATTTATGTTCTTTGATTCTTTGTTCCAAGCTTCTCAAAGTAGCACCTATATAAACACTATCTGAATCAAAGCGACAGTCTTTGATTGGTATGGAGTAAATGCCGGAGGTAGCGATCTGGTTGTCATTTTTTTAATCATTTCTCAGTAACTTGTATACTGTGGGATTGCGGCGATATACGATCTGTAAATTATTGATGTTTGCGATATTCTCTATCATTTTTCTTAAGAAGGGATGATAGTTGATTACCGCCATGTGTTGATTGTTAATTAAGGAGACTGATTAGTTTTAATCTGAAAAGTTGCGATGAGTTTTTTTATAAGATTCTTTTGGTAACCATTCTGTTGTGCTATTTGTATAATGTACTCTAATTCCTTGTAAGTGTCAAGTATATTTGTGCAATGAGTAAAGGCTTGTTTGATTCACGATCAGAAAGTGGCATATTTAAAGTTTCTAGGATCCATTGAATTATATGGTATGATGATGTTATTCAGGCCCGGTTTTCTGTAGATGTTAGTGCATATTTTACCTCTTTTGCATATGATGTTGACGTCAAGGAAATGGACATTAGTAAAGCTTTCCTGGTCCAGTCGCAACTTTAAACTGTAATTATTATTATTGATGTTATTTAAGAAAGCAAGACTGTTGATATTATTTTTCCAAAGAATAAAATACATCGTCAACATATCTAGCAAAAAGAATAACTTCTTCCTTGAATTTCTATAATAAAGAATTTTCTAGCTGACATAAAACCAGATCGCAAAGTATGGACAACATAGGGCTGCCCATAGGAACTCCCCTGTTCTGTAGGAAAATATTTCCATTAAATTCAAAGAAGGATGTGTAACAGATTAAATCTGTGAGTTCCAGAATGTTCTTACGGTATTTTTCGAAATTCTTTATGTTGTTAAACATAAAGTCCCTTAGGGCACAGAAACACGGTAGTAGTTTTATAGATGGATGTAACGAATCAAAATCCATGATTGTCATATATTCATTGTCCTTGAGATCAATATCTTTGAACTTCTCTATTAGTTGCAGGGCATTAGTGATGGTATATGGGTGGCCGTTTTTTCACCTGAAGAAGAACCAAAGGTTCAAAAACGTTAGTGAAAGACGTAAAAGTGGAATTAAGCACCGTTTTTGGTTCATGTTGGAAGTAAGTTTTAAACTGTAATTTTTACAAAACATTAATTTTTAATAGGAAACTGTTGAGCTCTTTATTTTTATTTATTTTTATATTCTTATATCCCTATCTTTTTATATTCATTCCGTTAAGTGTTCATCATTACAAACGCATGCGCAGTTATTATTTTTTCATAATTTTAATTTATGTTCTATTTCTTTAATATTCTTTTTACTTTATTATTTAACTGATGAAGATCGTTAAAGACGATCAAAAACATTTTTACAGTATTAAATTATTTGCTGGAACATCTTAGTACTTTTGAAATCTGAAGAATTATGCAGAATGAGAGAATACCATTGCCAAAGAATTATGAAGAATATATAAACAAAATCACTACTGTTATAATAAATTAAAACACTAGTTAATTTTTTTTTTGCATTTTGATGATTTAAGATTATAAGAGGGAGAAAATTCCTCGTGCTATGCTTGTAGGATATATGTAAGCCATTTTCAAGACACTGCTAAGTTATCAGAATCTATGGTTGATTATATTGGCATTCAATGGACAACAGGAAAATCAACCATGCCTTTACAAACTCTGTATACCAGGGGTGGCCAACTTTTGTGTACAGAAGATCTACTTTTTATCTTAAAACAGTGTTGCGATCAACTTGTCCTAGGTTTAGGCTAAGTGGCAAGGGGGGTGTAAAATACAAACTGTTTAAATTGGTAAGAAAAGCCACAATTTAATTAAAATATGAAGAAAAGGTACTTACATTTTAAATAGAAGAAAAATTGAAACTCAATGTTGTCACTTTCGGAGGACCACCACCCTTCCTCTCTCTACTGTGTCCTGACCTACTCTCTCTATCCCTCTTCCTGCCTTTCTTTTTTTCAATTTTACGACCCTTTGTGTACATTTCTTATTCCCCTTTTACAACTGTATGCAAATGGATCTAAGGTTATCGAAGCTACTGGGCACGGTTAAAAATTAAGACAGCGTAAGCGCAATTATTCCAGATATTACGGGTTTTGACGAGTAAAGAATTTTGAGAGTTATGCCACAATTATGCTACGTATTGATTATCGACCATTTGTGACACGCTATAACGAGCAAAAACTTAAGAAACTAATAAGTAGGTTTAAAATTGATAAATACAAATGTATTCTGACAGTTTGTGAGTTAATTATGCTTTCTATTTGCAAAATTTCTTCACCTTAACACAAAATAAGAAGAAAAAAGTGAATTTTTAAGAAATTTGCGGGATTTCCCGGATTAAAAAACAACCGGGATCCCATTTGAGAAACCCTAACATGTACCGACAAAACCGCATCCGAGGGAGGCCGCGGTGGACCGATATCACTACAGTTGTGTTTCTGTGTTATGTTTACACGTTGCGTTCGGTTATAAGTGTAACACATTAAGTCAAGACATCGGAGCAATCAACCAAATTTGTATTCGTAATCGACTTGTTGGCCACCCCAGCTGTATACAACCTTAAATTTATGAACTGCCAGCAGACCAACATGAGCAACTTGTAACTCCATATCCTCTTTGCTGTGTTATCCTACTGCTACTTGACATATCAATTATTTACTCCCTTCTTCCAACCATTTGTTATCAATCCTGACATATTTGTTATTTCTTTCCTAAAAAATAACTTAATTCAACCACTTTTTCCATATTCATATCATATGTAAACATTTGTCTTTTATATAGTAATCATTCTTAAAATTTTATTTCCTTTTAATTTTTCTTATCTAATTATTGGTTGGAGTTTTTTCTTTTTCAGCCTTGATCTTTTACACAAATCTGCCTTAAATATCATCTTTCCCATTACTTCAATATCTGAATTTACTTTCTTTTTCCAAAACTCTTTTAAAATTAAATTTCTAGTATACTGAGAATCTACAGAAATTTTTACCATTGGTTTCATTTCATTTTTAGTCAAACAAATTAGACCCAATTAAACTATTTGATATACCTAATTTTATATCTAGAAGCTGACTAACTTCCTTCAAGTAATTCATCGAATTAAACAGAAACAGAGTTAAATAGAAAGTCTATAATTACAATATTTTTGTTATATCTCTTATTAACTATTTTATTCATTTCAAAATTCAACATACCTTTTATTTGCCCGTAACTCTTAGATATAATTTCCATTTCTTTACTCTCTATAACAATCTTGTTAATTCTCCTCAAAAAAGCTTGCTTTTTCAAGGAGAATTACATCATATATGGAATTTAACTCATACTGGGATTCTACCTCTACATCTGGTAGAGGTAGTCCTTTAATGTTTCAAATTTTCCTATATTTTTGGATTTCTCAGACCCTCATGAATATCTTTATAGTATTCCTCTTCCACTTGTTGAAATTCTTCACTCATTAAAACATCCAATTGATTTTCCTTTTCCGTTTCCTTGGAAATTTCCTTGTGCAGTCTGCCTTGCCCCTTTTTTGCATATCCACTAGAAACATTTGCTGAGAAGAATGAGGTAGAGGCCCTGGATTAGACTCAATTTTAGCACATATCAATAAACACGTAACTAAATTTGAGAATAATCTATTTATAAATATTTAACTTGCTAGTCAAACCATTTTTTTTAAAAATATTATTCCATTATATTTTGGGCTTCTAATTCAATAGCAAGCAATATTTGATCTCCTTCAATAGTTCACTCGCACTTCCAGTGTCTAGCACACACCCTGCCTAAATATAATATGTAAAACATAACAAAAATAATATTTGTGTCTTTATTATATTACTGTATATATTATAAATGACTACTATTGTTAAATTGAATTATTTTATTTTTTTTAGAAATTGACAATAAAATCAACTCGTCTTCTACAAAAGTCTCAGTCATTAGATTTAACAGCTGGAAATATTGCAGAGGAAGATGATGTTTGTGACGTGGAAATACCGCCACCGATGAAAATACAAGATCATACATTCACACAAGTTCAACAACCAATTTTGGAAAAATGTAGTGAAAAGGGGGTAAGTTGAATTTGCTGTAATATATTTTTAAATATTTAATGACAGTCTTAATATTAATACAGTGGAATCTGGTTAACTCAAATCAGACTGGGGAAAATTTGAACTTAGTTAAAAAGTTTCAAGTTATGGAGGTTTGACCAAAAAAAAGTCAAGATTTTGTGCATTGGTTTATTGGTGACCCATAATAAACTATTCATATATTAGTTCTATCGATCTTATTATGTAGAATTATTGTGTCACTATAAACCTCTGTATTATCCAGAAACTCAAATGCTTAACCAAATGCATTTCTCAGTAGTTTAAATATAAATAAGGTACTGAGAAATTCTTTTTGAGAAAATCCATTTATTTATTACGTCAGCTAGTTGGAGAAATCCATCAGCAATCAAATAAAACAAAAAAAGTTTGAAAAAAGCAGGTCTCAATGGTGGTTACAATATTCATGTCGCACACATGCTCTCTGGAAGATACAGCTCACCACACTATAACATAACATGATGTTTATTTTTAGTTATATGTAGTTCCCATGTTTTATAGAAAGTTTCTGATTAGTTATTTGATAGATGAACATTAATTATTTTACTTAAATTAAAATTTAAGAGAGTTTATGAAAATACTGTGTCAAAACCCTATTCGAGTTAAACAGTTTGATGAATTTGAGTTAACCTGTTTGATTTAACACACAAATCCCTATGCTAGACATTTAGGGAGAGAAAATGACTTACAAGGAGACCCTACGGCTTTGGGGAAACGGATTTTGATGATCTTTGGTGTAGAGATAGTACACCATGTGAGTGTACTATCTGTAAAATACTAAAGTGCAATACTCAAATATAATCGAGAAAAACAAATTTAAAGTTTTTTTAGCACTTCATATATAAATTATACGTGTTTCCATTTGAGTGTCCTGTGGCTGAGTGGTAACGATCTTGACTTGTACGCTTGAGTTCCCGGGTTCGATTCCCGTGTATACTTTTTTTTTTTAATTCATAAATACTTATAATGTATTTATTTATTTACTCATTCATTTATTTCTTATTATTTATTTTAATTTAATTTCTACTATTCCAAGTCTAATTATTTTTACTTTGAACACCCACCTTTGTCAAGTTGAGAGGGAGCTACTTATGCCAGGTTTCTACCCCTTTCTTCAATTATACGAGCCTTGTATCCGTGTTAATTCATCTGTAAACATGTAAATTTTCGTTCTAATTATTTATTTTAATTTAATTTTAACATAAAAATCTCCAACACGTAGAAGAGACGTTATCATCAAATACGAACTCCTATATATAAAGATATATTAAAAGTGATTCCAGTAGTAATAAATACAGCGCTATATTTGATCACCCGTAATCCTTTTAGCTTAGAAATGATGAAAGGACCATACTTTCTATGGATGATAATATATCTGTATTGATAAATCGCGAGGATTTACTCCATATTCTCTTTCCTAACATTTTATCCAAAACTATAATTTCTCTCCTATCATAATATGTGTAAATGGTCGGTTTTACAGCAATAATACTGACAATATATTATCGAAAACAGCATTAAATACATTCTTCAATTAACTTTATAACATATCTTTCATGTAATTTACAGCAGGGATGCTGAATAGCATCTCTCTCTCTCTCTCTCATCTAACATTCCTGATAGAAAAAAATTACGATTTAATTGTAATTTAATGCATTTAAATGAGGAATTTATGTATATATAAGCAAATTTTACGTATTAATTCATAATATTATCGATCATATATTAATTTCGAATAAGTAATTACATATACGTAACACGTTAATAATATTATCTCGAAATGAAGCATCACTTTTCATGCTTTATCTCGAGCATCACTGTTGATATAATTATTATCTTTAAATGGATTCTGCCGAAATTTTACTAAATTAAACGAAATAAAATTTAATAAAATATAAAGAAATTTAATTATATTAAATAATNATCGGTCACCGTTAGTGATAACAATTAGATGGGAAAGTTGACACATAGGAGTGCGCTGTTATTGTCAACAAAAGTAAAAAAATATTAGACTTGGAATAGTAGAAATTAAATTAAAATAAATAATAAGAAATAAATGAATGAGTAAATAAATAAATACATTATAAGTATTTATGAATTAAAAAAAAAAAAGTATACACGGGAATCGAACCCGGGAACTCAAGCGTACAAGTCAAGATCGTTACCACTCAGCCACAGGACACTCAAATGGAAGCACGTATAATTTATATATAAAGTGCTAAAAAAACTTTAAATTTGTTTTTCTCGATTACATTTGAGTATTGCACTTTAGTATTTTACAGGTAGTACACTCACATCGTGTACTACCTCTACACCAAAGATCATCAAAATCCATTTCCCCAAAGCCATAGGGTCTCCTTGTTAGAGTAAATGTAACTGAATTATCTCTGTTCAATTTAACCAGGTTCCACTGTAATTGAATATAAATGCACATGCAATTATTTTATTATAATTACTATTCAAATTACCATTACAAAATGAACTACGAACTGTAAAAATGAAGATGGTTTATACTACTACTACTATAACTAGGATGTGTATAATTTGGTAGTGCTTGGATATTGTTGATGAACTTCATTTATTTCTTTTTCTGCACAAAATCAATAGCAAAATCTGCCTAACTTATAGCTGGTTCTTCTTGAATTAATGGAGAAATTTTTTCTTTTGTTCATTTTAATTTGATGATATTCTTTTTATTTTTGCTTTATTTTCCCTTGCTTATTTTTTTTATACATGCTTGTATTTCTTTAATTTTTATATTAAAAAGTTTATTCTAATTGCTCTAACTTTTTATTTCTTCTAACGTATATATTCTAGCTATATTATTATAAGCTGTTAAATGCAGGATTTAAGCTGATAATCAGATCTTGACAAAAACATTTATTTGTTTAAGAAGTGTTGGCTTCATGAAACTGATTTCTTCATTTATTTACAAAGGTGCCAGATTTAATAACTTTCTATGAAAATGTGCATTATTATTATTATATTTTTATTGGTGCTTACTGAATATTTAAAAAAAAAACTGCATTTAATGTAATTCTTGATAAGAAATATTATTTAAATTTATTTATTGTGTTATTGCAAACATAGTGATTGAGATTATTTGGATGACTGAGAATAATTAAAATTGTTTCCATAAGAAATAATAAAAATAACCATTTTTTAATATTCAAATTTCCAATATTCTGATTATAGTAGAACCTCGAAAACTCGGCTCTCGATAACCCGGCACTCCTGATAACTCGGCCACACTCTGGCAGGGCAAAAAAATCCTTAGTTAATTAATTTTCATTATAGACAGCTTTATAAAAGTATAAAAGCTCTCATAAAGTATTTTTCTTAGGTCTGTCTTATCAGGTAAATTACTGTACACAGTGTATTCATTAAATTTTCATGTAGTAAAGGCTCTATGCCTTCATAAAGGACGTACTTTTCCTTTGTTTAAGGGTATTCGGGCAGTTTATTCTCTGTTATATTCTCAAGTAAACAATACATACAAGTACAGTACAGTATTTTCTGAGGAAACACTCTTACTTATTTTTTTAACCTCATTCCCGATAACCCGGCATTTTCACAAACTCGGCCACCCTTCGGTCCACATTAGGCCGAGTTTTCGAGGTTCTACTGTATTTTCAGGAATATGTTAGATTTGGATAACACAATATGACTGCATTTCAACAATAAAAAGTTGTAACATTTCAAAGATGTGTCTATTTAGCATAGAAAAATAAAAATTATTAGAATATATAATTGATAGTTTACATTTATGACTGAAAAATAAATGTGTAATGTACTTGTTTTAATTAAATTTAATGATAATTATTTTCAATTAAATCAGTTTAATTAAGAGTTTCAATACATTAGGAACTGTTATCTGTCAGGGGTCAGGATTAAAACCTGATTGATATGAGAATAGACAGATGATAATTCTCGCTTATCAGTACAAAAAATTAATGTACAATCCTATATTTACAAAACTGCATTATCAACCATCTGTTCATTTACTGTACAGTGCAGTATTTTTGTGATGCATTACTAAAATCCAGTAAAGAAATAGCGCCTTATGTACAGTAAAATATAATACAGTACATTCTTTATGGCAAAAACAAAAAAGAAAAATAATACAATAACTCTACTCCCTGAATTGAATATAGCACTCTGACAGTTAATAGTGATGAATATCAAGTTTCTATTGTAATAACAAACTAAAAGCTCAGGGAGAACAACTTGGAACTGCAATATATTGCAGTTCCAAGTATAAGACAACTATGTTATAACTGATGACTAAATTAAATTTTTTAATTCTTCTGAAATTTATTAACACTAATTGATTAATTACTCTAATTTTGAGACTAATTAATTTGCTATATGTGAAATTTGTAAACAACAAATGAAAATTAATGTGAAATAACTTAACCAACAACAGACCTACCATGACATGAGCTTCTTGTGTGTTATATATGTATTGTGAACTGCTGTAAACACTCATAGGTTGTAAGGAAAATGATTGATATATCACATTCCTCTAATCTATGAATATTTATAGAAACTTAAAACTTAAAATTCATATTAGTTCTAACACCAGCACAATGTATGAACGTATTTTATATTCATAAAGGTTTGGGTTATTGTACTTCTAGCATATACCTTGATTAGAATGTTTCTCAAATTTCATTTATTTCTAAACAACATACAAGTTGACCCCCCCCCATAACACTGTTGATTATTTCATTTTATATGAATTCCATGTTGTACGAGTCACTTAGATTTTACAAATATGTGTGCCGGGCTGTGAATGGCTCATGTATTTGTAAAATCTAAGTGACTCGTACAACATGGAATTCATATAAAATGAAATTATCAACAATGTTATAGGGGGGGTCAACCGTATACCAATGTATTATAAAAGAGACATGCTAAAACATATAAAAGAGAAAAGATTACACTATATTTGTATCTATGGTACGATATTAACTTATATTTGTTCCTTGATTATAATGGTCATAAATTTCAGTGACTATATTTTCCAAATCATGAAGTTCAAAATTGTTATTAATAACTATCACACAATTTCTAGTTAATATGTTGTTGTTAAAAGAAAATTTTAATATAAAAATTCAAATTATGGTTTTTAGAAACTTGATTTAAAAGAATTTTTTTAATTTTTATTAATTCATTTATATTATTAGTGATGGGACGATTAATCGAATCAGAAAAATTAACATTTTCCAGGAATCAGAATCGAGCAAATATCATCAATATTTCCAATTCTTAAAAATGATTCTTCCACATTTTATAAGAAAATTAATTATTTGTTTTGGATGAAGATTAAAAATTTTTAATTAAGTGTTAGTTTATTGGAAACTTTCGTGTTGACAAAGCAGAGAGTACACAACATCCATACATGAGACAATGTCTGTCATGATGGATTTTTCTTTCAAGTAGTCAGAGTGATGAGAGATTACACTTGGTCAATACTAATTTTCCTCAGTTTAGGAAAAATATGGTGCCTTTCGGGTTGCTGTCTGGCCAGCTTGACCTGCAATCTGTATTCTGTATATAAAAAGCAAAATGTTCCATCACCACTGCACACAAATAATATAAATTTAAAAATTATGTTTGATTTACAATTGGAAAATTTCAAAACAACTTTTAAATGGTTTTTAAAATATTGATATAATTTTAATTAATTTTATTTTATTTTTAGTTTTGATTTTGCTGTAAAGACCAGAGTTTTAATTATTATTAATAATTTTTATTTACTTCTAATTTGAAACCATGTCTTTTATCTATGTCTATTGAAGGTGCTTCATTGTGCAATACAGATAAATTTTTATTTATTTAATTTTGCTGCATTTTTTTTTTAATCCTTAATTACAATTTTTTAAAATTAATTGCAATTGTTTTTACTTTTCCGACTGTTATACACAACAGAGGGAAAGTATGACGATCATTCAAAAAATGACACTCAGATTTTTACATTTTTGGACTTAGGACACCTTGAAATGTCAAAATGGAAAAACAAATTTGGGGATTATTTCTGTATGTATGGATGTTTGTGGGGCACGATTTTGTTCACCCTGTTTGAAGCTTTATAACTCCTGTGCTTTTTGTCGAAAATTTCTGAAATTTTAGAGATTTTTGTATATTAGGGGGATTGATGCTATTAAATTTTGGTGAGTAAAGGTTGAGGGGGTGGGAGATAATGGGGTTGTATGTATCTCTAGTAGTGTTGGACTTAATAATGATTTTACTTGTTATTAACATTTACCTACTCTCCAAATTAAGCTTTTTGCTATTTTATAATAGTTAAAAAATATAAAAAGTTTTTAAATAAAATATCACAACAAATGGTGCCAATAAATGTTATTGGGAAAGTTAAGCTACTTGTTGCTAGATTTTTTTGTTTTGCAACATAGCTATAGAAATTGTTTGCGTTGTTTCTCACAAAAAATAGTCATATTTAAATTTATTTTAATTTTTTAGTAATTTCATTAATTTTTGTTTCACAAATCTGCTTGCTTTTTAAAAATTTTAATTATAAGCGAGTTAACATTGAACTGTCAGACTAAGTTTTAAATCAAGGCCAGTGGTCAGCAAAACAGTTTTATTTTAATTGAAAAATATTATATAAAATTAGTTTTAATGTTTAATGTGTTTACTCTGTAATGATAAAATGACTTTCCCATTATAATTATGAACATTTTTATGATTCACAGATGATGGTGTGATATGTTAAATTTTCAAATGTGATTCATGCTATTATAAGTAAAAATACTCATTCCCACTAAGTTTACTGCCATCATGAGTTTTAAAAATTGATTTTTTTAAGATGAGTTGGTCTAGACATTTGTGGTTGGAGTGAATGAATTCAAAAATTGATTAATTCATGACTATGGTATTTGTTAGGTTTGTTGCATCATTTGCCAAACCTCATTTTGTGTTAAAAACAATGGAGTTAGATCATTTACAAGACATGCCCGTTACAAAAAGTGTAAAAAAAGTACATCTTCTTATTTACCTTTCCCTCCCCAGTAATCATGTTGGCCAACAAAGCAGTTTCCAAAGATGGTGACCCTGTACGGCATGATGACATAGTTCATTGAGTAAAAGGGAATTTGCTGTAATTTCTTTGGGGTAGTGTTGCAATATTAACGTTATCTGAAATAAGATTGCAAGTTTATTTAGTACACAATAAAAGCATATGTATCCACATATAAATGGAGAATTTTCACATTTCTTTCAAAAGATTCATTCTGGATTTTCTAATCATTTTCCATTTTTAAGTTTTATGTTTACTAATTAATGAATGCAGCATGCTCATAATATAAATCATTAATTTTTCTGAACTGTCAATAAAATAAACTTTAGAAAGTATTCAAAAGAATCTGAATTGGGAATTTTCAGCAGAAATCAGAATTGGGAGAAAGTTTGATATTGTCCCATCACTAATTTGTTATTTTCATGCATAATATCATATTGTTAAGTTTAGTTTGTTTATATTACTAGTCAATTCCACTAATTTTGCAAGCACCAGAAGGAGCTTCTTCGGCAGATATGGCTTCAGAAATTGAACAAATTGTGAAAGAGAGAATGGTATGTTTCAAATATATAGCAGTTTGCTGATACTTTTTTTAATTAATTTCATTACAGTAGAACTTCAATTATCCAAATTGATTTGTTCTGTAGGTAATTTTGGATAATTGATAATTCAGATAAGTGGATTAACATGTAAAGAATGAAATTAAAGATTAGCAGCAAAGTATTGTACACATACCGTATTTATTTATTTATTTATCAATGGGCAAGTAGCATCCTCTGATCATTTGGATTTGTCACAGCAAATAGGCATATACAGAAAGCATCACTTCAGGTAAAAATACACAGTAAAGATGATTGCCTAGCACATGAAACATGTTTTCTGGTGGCAAAGTGTTGCAGGTGTTTCAGTTTCAACAACTCTGGCATAGTACATTTGTCTTGTCTTTCAAATCACTTCATTGCTGTCTCAAGACAGTTAAAAGCTTCACTGTGCAATGGTCCAAGATTGTTATGCAATTTTCTTCTACTTCTGCTCTTCCAGAAGTGTTCTCTCCTTCCACGTTTTCTACAATTTTTTAATCACTCAAAATTTGAAAATTGCCATCAACAGTATTATTTCTCAACTAGGTTTCCTTCTGAATTCTGCACCTGAGAAAGTCCCAGAATGCCCTCTATTATCTCATGAATGTTGTTGCAAGATGTTTCATTGGTGACCTTAACCACAGCAACTTTTACCATTCTCTGTGCAAAGTTTCTTGCTGAACAGAATTCTATGAATCAGCTAGCATATATATATGCTGGTTGATTCATGGACATGAACATTGGCACTTGTGAAATTCCCACACATCATACAAGAGTTTTCTTGTATTGGGGTTTCAGAGCTTAAATAATGCCCTGATCCATTGGTTACAGGAGTAACGTTATTTGTGGAGAAGGAACATGACATTCAATTTTCCTTCTTGTGACTATAACTCAACTGCTAGGATGGGATGGCACATTGTCAGTTATAAACAGCTTGTTGCCATATTTTCCACTCCCCTCTTGATATTTTTTTACTACAGGAATGAAGACTTTCTCATGCTATTTAACAAAAATTTTTGCAGACATCCATGCACTTTTCTGGTTTATGTATGTCACTGGTAAATCTTTCACATTCTTTACAGCTCATGAACACTTCACTTTTTCAACCATAAACAATTTCAAACTCTGTTTTCCAGTAGCATTGGTGCATACCATTACTGTAAGTCAATCTTTACTCATTTCTCATTCTGGAGCAACAGATTCCTGCTTTGATGCCAGTGTCTTTTGGGGCAGAATTCCAGTTTAACCCAGTTTCATTAGCATTATAGATGAAGTCACAGTTGTATTTCTCTTTGATGTATGCCATCAATCCAGCAACAAACTTCTTGGTATATTCTATGTATATGCTTTAAATCTGGTACTCACCTGGAATTGACTTTATTTAAATAAAGTCAATTCCATTTAGAGTCAATTCTTATTAGAACAGAATATTTAAAGTGTTTTTCTGAAAAATTTCTTACAATACTGGAAGTTTTTAACTCTATTAAAAGAAATTCTATTTTTCCGGAAGCATGGATTTAATCTTTAATTATTTCAATATATAAAAAAGGCAATGCATATGATTCCAAAAATTATATGTTTGGTTCCTGTAATTGATAAATGATTTACATCTTTATTAAATAGAAGATTAGAAGAATGGATTATTAAATATATTTCATGTCAGGAGCAAGCAGGTTTTGACCTGGCCGATTGTGTCAAGATCAAATATTTGTACAGTTAAAATTGCAAAGAGAGGAAAATATTATACTGTTTTTGTAGACTAGCTCTGCTTTTGATACCATTAATTGTGGAATTTTATGGTCTCTGTTGGAAAGAATGCACATGATTAAAGTTTCTTGGCTTTATAATTGAATATATACTCCAAAGCTACTGCAAGGGTAAAGATATTAGCTGAAACAACTGATTTATTTGGTATTGACATTGAAGTTTTGCATGGTGAAATTCTGAGCCCATTACTTTTTAATTTGTATGTTAATGGTCTGACAGTGCGACTTTCTAAATTTGACTTGCCTGGGATTTCTCTTGGATCAAGTTGAGTTATATGTATTAATGTATGCTGACAACACTCTAGTTCTTGCTGATATTCCATAAATATTACAAAATAAAATTGCAGTTTTGGAGAAATTTTGCTGACTATGGATTAACTATAAATGTTTCTAAAACTAAAGTAACGGTATTCAAGAGGGGTGGTAGGCAATCAATCACCCAGAGAGAGATGATTTTTTTTTATAATCAGCCTATACAAGTTGTTTTCAAATTACATATACTTGAGAGTATTGTTTTTGTCTTCTGGACAACTTTTACAGGCTAAAAATTATAATATAAGTAAGACTAAAATGGCAATGGATTCAATATGGCCTATTCTTTCAAGAGCTAAAATTAATTCTTCTTATATCTATGTAAAGTTATTTCGCTCAATGATTTTGTCTGTATTACTTTATGCTGCTCCTGTATGGACAATTACTTATTATGATAAAATGGAAATTTTCCTTGTTTTATGTCATAGAAAAATTTTTATGTTATATAATAAAATTCCGGCTTACACATTGCATTTGGATTTTAGTGTTTCTAGAATATTGGTAATAATAATAAATAATAAAATTTCTTAACTGGAATAAATGTAAAAAATAAAACATTACAGCCTGTTCCAGCAAAAATTTTTAATTTTCTAATATTTTTGGCTATCTATGCAGCCATCATCAGGAACAAACATATAAAGGAATATTTTTTAGAATTTAAATTCAACAGTGTACCAAATATGGATCAGTGATGTACAGTTGCAATAACAAATAAATAATAATAATAAAGTATACAATAATAATAAAAGCAATAGTTTTATTTTGGATTAGACTTTTGAAATGAGATGATAACAGTTATGTTAAAGTAACGTATAACAAACTGTATAAATTGTGTTCAATGATGGATAATTCTATGTATAATTGGTTGTTGGTGTTGAAAAATTTGCTAGATTGACACTGTTTCTCTTTCCAATGGTTGTCTCAAGATCCTTGTTTCATCGAAAACTATCAAACATTAATTATATGAGTATGCTGTGAACAAATCATACAAGAAGATTGGTCTTGGATGGAAAAAAAACAAACATTTTCAATTATATTGTAGTATTAAAACAACTTGTGTGAGGATTATTTGTTTATGGAAATAAATAGTCATGTAAAACATTTAATATTGCAACTGAGATACAATAGATTAATTAATATACTATAATAGTCTACTATACTATAACAACAGACTAATAATATGCAATATAAAGATCCTGAGAGAATTTGTAGTAATTATAGTATGCTAGTGTATGGGGATGTGTATTCTTTCATTGTGTGAAATTTGAAGCAAGCAGGAAAAAGTATTTGATAAGATTTAAATCCTAGATATAATTAATTTATCACATTTTTTTGAAAAAAGATTATTATTGTGTATTTTATTCTGTATTATCTTATACTAAGCTATTACATTAATTTATTATATTGTACTAACTCCAGCTTTATCTAATACTTTAACCTCATATAATGAACTAAGGATCAAAAAACAGAGAATTGAATTGAATATTCTGTGTTCGTGGACAGTTTTTCTCTGAATCTTGAGTTCTTGGATTCCATGTCAGGACTCGAAGTTGCACATCCTTCCACTGCTGGCTTTGAAGTTTTCATCTTTACCCATTTCTTTGTTGAACATCAGAGCTTTCTCACATAAAATTGGTGTGGATATCGGCTGTCCAGTTGAATGCTTCTGTATGAACATTTGTGTATTGATTCTTCAACTACAGCATTGTTTGCTTTTTTTATTATCTTTCTGCTCGAACAGTTATCCTCACTTTCCAGGATATAAGTGAAATGCTGTATTGTGTTGTCATCATTTTTCTTAATGTTCAAAACAGTAGCTGCTTTCTACCATATCTTTCATATATTTCCCAGATTGTTTTTCAATGCAGTGACAATCTCAGTTTGTTCTGCCATGGTAAGAACAATATGTTTTTGTTTCCACAAGTTTGCAGATATGATCAGAGTCACATTCACAGTGAACATAAAAGAATTGCAGTCTTGTGACATCAGTGAGAGAGAGAGAAAGGAAGGCAAGTGATGGTTTGGTGGATAATTGGACATTTGGATAATCAGAGTTCTACTTTATTGATTTTTGTATTAAAATGTGTGTTTTGAAAATTTTAAAAGTGATACTTCAAAATAATAATTGTTCATTTTATAGCTTATATTAATGTATGAAGATCATTTATGGTTAATAGTTGCCATATTTTACAATTCTTATTTTGTTATGTTTTTACATTAAATATTAATTATCTAATGTAGAAGAATTAGTGTCTAATTTGGTGTTTTCTTTAGATTTGAATCTTATTTTTAATTTTTTATATTTTATGATTTTTAAAATGTAATATGTATATATCTATATATTGTTTATAGGAACAGCACATTGAAAATACTGAACTTCCTTCAAATAATAAACCTACAGATCCAGAAGTAAGACAAGCTGATGAAAATGAAGGATCATTTAAAAGTGATGATAAAAAACTTAATTCTGCAGAAACAAATATAGAGTTTGAGAAAGAGAAAGCACTACAAAAAAGACAGTAAGTATTAATTTATAATATTTTTTAAATCAACAGCATCATTAAAAAATCTGTTGTTTATTTTTCTGCAAAAATATGTAATTTGTCAACATTTCAGACCAAAGTCATTTATATCTTTTAGATTGTCATGTTTTTCTTAAAAATCCTAGAATAGTGTTAATTAGATATTTTTGTATTATGAATATAGTTTCATATTGTCACTTTTGTCAATAACAATGTGAAAAATACTTTGAAGGTACAGTGGTTTTTGGATTGGTCAATTAGAGGTTGGAAACTGATGATATGAATACCAACTGTAGCATGCTGAGCAATTTTCAATGGCATACAGCAAGTTTCAAAGGGTTTCTCTCATTAAGCTTTTCACAAGTGCTCTCGGTCTTGCCTCTCTCAGTCCACCGTTGTTCCAATGTACCAACCATAAGCATCAACGATCACACTCCTTTGTTCTTTCTGATGCTGTTTTCACAACCCGGAGCTCACTGATCGCACATCCTTTCTCTTCAATGTCTCAGCCAAAAAGTGTCTCTACTATCAGAACTTGCCCCAAAGGTCTCGTCTTCTCTATTTTTTCATTCCCCACACCCACAGAAGTTGGGATGACATGGTGGAAGGTTTTCAAAGCCTGTTATTCCACCTGAGGTGAAAGTGTTAGTTAAAGTATTAGAAAGGAAACATCAGGAAAGAGAAAGAAATAAAGAACAAAGGAAAGAAGTAAAACTATACTTAAATTATTACATACATATATATATGTACATTAATATGGCATACAGCCACAGCAGCACCCATACAGTTTTTGTGTTATTCTGAAAGCATACATGGAACCCATGTCAAAAATTTTTCAATGTTTGAGGCACACTGTGACAATTTTGTGGAGTATTTTTCAAGAAACATGTAGAAATTCTGCATGAATTTCATTGAGAATACAGCACTGTTCCAATTTAATGAAGTCATCCAAACAATGCAGCAAATCTTCTGTAACAGGAGATGGGTGCCTGGTTTGTTGTTTATCATGGATATTCTCTCTTCTTGCATTAAACTTGGGACACCATCATTGCACTGTTGATTTGTCAATAACACCTCCACACATATCCACAATTTGATGATTGAGCTCACATGGTCACACAATTTTTGTATTCAGAAAACGAACAACAGACCTCACTTTACAAGTGGCGAGATTGTTTTGTTGTTCATTTTAAACTCTTACTGTGACACAACCAGGCATCATAGCACAGTGATACACAGAATGGCCAACGTAGTGCAACATGTCTCCCAGATTCCTCCTGAAATGTTCCATGTGACAGTTGATAACACAGTTCTACAATTGTAACATGTAGTCAACAGAGAAGGATCCTACATTGAGTACATACTCTAAATGTGTAAAATGTAATTTTATTCCAATAAAATTTTGTCTGCTTTTCCTTGTATCATCACATTGTCATCCTTGTATCATCACATTTTTTGCTGGTGGTGAAAATTTCAACTAATTTCTCCCTGGAATATCTTCCCTGTGATCTGCATTGCAGATGTACCAAGTTTTATTTGATTCGGTTCAGTAGAGTCAGTCTGAGTATCATCAGTTCACATGTCTGAGTACCATCAGTTTAATTCTTAAATTCTTATTCTACTTTCTGGATCACTTTCATAATTGAAGTCAAATATTTAAGCTTTTAGGGTATTTCAAATTATTGAAAATCAAAACTACACTCATTGTCATAAAAACTTGCGAACCAAGTTGTCATATTGCTACGAAACTTGGCATGCAGATAAGTCTCAACCAGATATGGGAATGATTAGAGTTATAACATGATGGCTCATTGTGTAATGCCAGCAGGGGACATTAAACAGCATCCCCTTTGCCTATAAAAAAAGTGTACAAAGGCAACCTGTCTGTAGTTTACATGGTGCAAAGGGACACTGTATCACTAGAGATGGCTTACAAGGAGAGCCTACGGCTTTGGGGTAATGGATTTTGATGATCTTTGGTTTAGAGGTAGTACACCATGTGAGTGTACTACCTGTAAAATACTAAAGTTCAATACTCAAATATAATCAAGAAAATCGAACTTAAACTTTTGTTAGCACTTTATATATAAATTATATGTATTTCTATTCGAGCGTCCTGTGGCAGAGTGGTAACGAGTCCGATTCATAAGCTTGAGTTCTCGGGTTCGATTCTCGCGTATAATTTTTTTTTTAAATTCATAAATACTTATAATGTATTTATTTATTTACTCATTCATTTATTTCTTATTATTTATTTATTTTAATTTAATTTCTACTATTCCAAGTCTAATATTTTTATACTTTTGTTGACAATAACGGCGCATTCTTGACACCTATGTGTCAACTTTCCCATCTAATTGTTATCACTAACGGTGACCGATCTAATTCTCACTAGGAGCGTTTTTTCTATCGGAGTTCTTTTTCACTCACTCTTTAACAGTTCGTTTCTAAATTTCGACACGAATAGACGTATTTGTGTAGTAAAACTTATTTTGAAAAATTATTTTATAATCAAAAAATGTCGTCAAGAGAAGCAAGTTCTTCACGTTGTGACGAAAAAACTGTTGATGATAACTCTTTATACAGTGATGTAAAATACTAACTTGTAAAGTGCAAAACTCAAATATAACCAAGAAAAACGAATATAATTTATTGAAGCAATATTATATAATTACATATCATTGTCAGATGTACATGATCGTGAATGATACTTATGATAAAAACATTCAAAACAAAAATTCTGTCTACACCAAGAACAACAAATAAATGCTGCTTTTTTAAAAGGTATCATCAACAGTTTTTTCGTCACAACGTGAAGAACTTGCTTCTCTTGACGACATTTTTCGATTATAAAATAATTTTTCAAAATAAGTTTTACTACACAAATACGTCTATTCGTGTCGAAATTTAGAAACGAACTGTTAAAGAGTGAGTGAAAAAGAACTCCGATAGAAAAAACGCTCCTAGTGAGAATTAGATCGGTCACCGTTAGTGATAACAATTAGATGGGAAAGTTGACACATAGGTGTCAAGAATGCGCCGTTATTGTCAACAAAAGTATAAAAATATTAGACTTGGAATAGTAGAAATTAAATTAAAATAAATAAATAATAAGAAATAAATGAATGAGTAAATAAATAAATACATTATAAGTATTTATGAATTAAAAAAAAATTTTACGCGAGAATCGAACCCGAGAACTCAAGCTTACGAATCAGACTCGTTACCACTCTGCCACAGGACGCTCAAATAGAAGTACGTATAATTTATATATAAAGTGCTAAAAAACTTTAAGTTCGATTTTCTTGATTATATTTGAGTATTGCACTTTAGTATTTTACACATAGTACACTCACATGGTGTACTACTTCTACACCAAAGATTGTCAAAATCCGTTACCCCAAAGCCGTAGGCTCTCCTTGTTAGTTACAGTCAAAGACTATATGAACAACTAACCAAGTTTGAGAGGGGGAAGAGAGAAGCCAGATGGTCATCTCACTGAATAACTTGACATCTAGATCATTCTGATACACTGTGAGGAGGTATTGGGACCAATAGACAAGAGAGAGCTCACAAACACTGCACCCAGGCTCAGGACACTCAGCAGAACAGTAGACAAGAGGATTGTCTGGTCTTCCAATAAGCATGCATCAGCCAACCATATCATTGTCTGCCATCTGGACACAGGTGGCATCATCATTATAGACCCCTGTGTCTGTCCATATCATTTCAAGTAGCCTGGGTAAGGAGTGTTTGGTATTGCTGCAGCCATTACATGTTCTGCCATTGGCAGCCACTCACTGTCAATTTCGAATAGTTCCACTCCTGATGAGATTGGACCAGTAATGGAATGGAACCAGGTAGTCTACAGTGACGAATTCACATTCAGTTTGGTCACTAACAATGACCATGTTTGTCTGGAGAGGTCTCATAGTGAACACCTCAATCCTGACTACATTTTGGAGTGGCACACTGCCCCCGCAGCTGGTGACAGTCTGGGGGCCTTCACATACAACAGCCTGTCGCCTCTAGTAGTAGTGATCCAAGGGACCATGACAGCCCAGCAATATGTTAGTGACATCCTGCAGCCACATGTGTTGCCTCTCATGACAGGGCTCTTAAAAGCTATTTTCCAACAGGACAATGTTTGACAATATACAATAAGGATGTCACAGGACTGTCTCTGTCACATTTCCACACTTTCCTGGCCTGATTTATCACCAATCAAACATGTCTGGAATCACTTGGGATGCCAGTTGGACAGCCAAACTAGAGGACTCTTTGCTGCAGCTGTGGACTGAGATGCCACAGGACACCATATGGTGCCTGTATCACATTGTGTATTCACACTAGAGGTACTAGACCTCCTTTCATTTGTAGTTTTTTCTGCAATAAATGATCCTTTTGCTTTCATTTTGTAATCACTTATATCACATGTACTGTACAATTTCATTTGATTCCAACAATTCCTTCTTGGTGCACCAATTTTTATGGCATTTAGTAGTTAAAATTACTGGTCTTCAAAAGAACAAATGTAAAATTGAATGAAATAATTTTCATTTTTTAAATATTTAATTTTAGAATTTTTTCAGTTAGAATAATTTGATCCATTTTTGATATTAACTTTATATCTTATATAATCTTATACAGTGGAACCCCGGTTAACGAATGTAATCTGTTCCACGAGTCCATTCGTTAACCGAAGCAATTTTTCCCATAGAAATTAATGCAAATACAATTAATCCGTTCTAGCCGTCAGTATTTTTGTAATTTTATTTGTAAAATGGTTTTTCTTTGATGAAAATATAAGAAAACGTAGTATCGATCATTACAGCAAAAAATATGTAAACTTTATTTAATAAAGTAGCACTGTACATACCTTTATTTCTACGGAGCTTAATGTTTGGAAGAGGAATCCCCTCCATAAAAATATCGGGTAGCACTGCATTGGGAGTTTCTTCAAGTTGAGGTCTCTTTTGATAAGGAACAAAAAAGTC